AAGTACAAAGTATGAGCTCCATGGAGATCTCAGCAATCTGTAAGTGTTGTCCAAGCAGATCAGCAGTAAACCTTTTGTTCTTCCATCCAAATTAATGGCACAGTTTACTTTGCTGTGATCAGAAGCCAAGTATGTGCACTATTGCACTACCAGGCCTCCATACTTCTCTCAGCCAGGATGTGATGAAATCTGGAGAGGCTTGCACTCACGGACAATAATTTACGACAAAGGGTGGCGAAGCGGATGAAGGAAAAGGTTTCTGCACAACTTGTTCAGTCCATAAATGAAAATAAATGAATCACTTGGGAAATTGGCAAACCAAACTGGAAGAGGGCGGAGTACAAAGTCGTTATATTTGATATAAATTTAAAAGAAAAAAAAACACACATTTTCCACCGCTGACTTACATTAATAAAGGTGGAACACTAAAAGTTCCCGAGAGCAGACGAGAGACTTCAAAACTGGTCGGCCAAAAAGTCAGCCTGCTCTCACAAACCACAGTGTGTTGTCTTTCTCAATGACACCTTCCACGGTCACGTATCGCCGTGATGCAGTGCTTTGTGCTTCACTAGCATTCGCTGTCATGTTCAACTGATTGTCGTAGCAGGGCTATCAGTTGTCATCTTTAAGCACCGTGTGCATGCGCTGTCACTAGAAGATGTTGTTTGAGAAATGAATTTTGGTGCAAAATGAAGGAGCTAATGCTTCTACCAGCCTTGGAATGAGCCCACCGAGGAGGCTGGCTAATCCTGTTATTCTACAACATTCATCTCCAATCTGTTGGCTTTCAGCATTTTTCTCGCAAGGGGCGAAATTGTAGCTTCAATTGTTGCAAATTGTGGTGGGTTATGACTGCAAAGCACTTCCACGCCTGGGAAAAGAGGGGGCCACTAAATGCAGTCTGCAACCTTGTCACTGTCAAGCCTTAAGACAGAAACTCTCAGAAAGCATTACACTGTGGCCTGTCGAATGAAAAATAAAGTGGAGGCTCTGTTGGGTACCAGATAATTAATAATAACAACAAAAATGCTTACTGTATATATTTATGATACCAAACCCTAAGGACTGAAATCCTAGCTATTTGTGTTAAAAGCACACTCCCCAAAGCCTAAAAAGGAAAGCTAAATCCAATGAAACAATAATGGTGTTTTGAGTAAACACAGTTATTGTTTTATTCTAAAAGGTCACAGCCTAAGGGGCGTTTATTACGGTTTCTAAAACAAAACCGAGTTCAAGGCTGAATGGCTTCCAGATGGCGGTGTCCCCCTCCACACAGCCTGTCTGTTTCTTCCTGACAGATGCTTCGCTTGCTTCCAGGGAAGAATCTGAGCAGCCTTCCATGACGAACCAAGACATGGGACCTGCATTAACCGTCTCCCAAGTTCCACGAATGGCAGTATGGCTTTCCAACCCCCCCCCCCCCCCAGGGCCGCACTGTACACAGATACAGCACACACCCACGAGGGCACTGTTTAAATGCACATACGCAGGCGCAAATACAGTTTATATCACAGTATAAAAGCCTAAGTCTAATGTTGATTGCAACAAATTAATCTTTCAGTTAGAGTAGTTAAAAAGAGAATGCGATTGTCAGGTGTAAGAAAAACTTTGTTTTCCATCTGTCATTTTTGGCAATAGAGCAGTTTGGTAGCGGAGAGTTTCTCCATCAATATCAGCGGTTTCCAAATGGAAGATAATTATGTGATGCTCTGTATATCAGAGAAAACATGATGAGATATACATATTTATATTTCATGTCCGGGCTTTAGCAAATATCGACAGCCTGCGAAAGCATTTTTCGCTCTTACGACCACAGAGGTGATGCTATTATCGCTATTCATGTCTTGAATGAACCAAAAATCCATGTTTGTATCTTAGCTTCTTCTTTGGCTCCTCAGCTGAGGCTTCGTTGGGAGCGAACGACATAGTGTAACAGGCATTGGGCAGAGGAGGGGGCTGTTTGACAACTGCTCATCGGCCCGGAGCTGCAGCTCTGCACACGGCCTGCAGAGCTCCCGTGGCTCCCCAGCCGACCACTCTTGCATCCTGGCTGTGGTCAGCCGGAGCCCCCGGAGCGTGGCAGCCTGCTGCTCTTTCAGCCGCAGCAAAAAAAGCAAGAGAAAAAAAAAATAAAAAAAGCACTGAAGCGTAAGAGCCCTCTAGGCAGGGCAGACATGAAAGAACATTGCCGCCATACAGGCACATTCAGATTTCCCTAGAAGATGCACGTGGAAGCCTTAGTGAATGCATGCACATGGACACAAATACACGCTATCACTTTCCTGCAAGCACTGAATCCAAATCATTTAGAAAACAGAACGTAACAGGCCATTGGCCCATCCGTTCTATATCCAGAGAGAAAGATAGTGGGGGTCTGAAAGCCAGGACTGTTTCAGATAACTTTCAACGTCAGTGGGAGGGTTAAACAGCAGGTTTCTTAGTTCTGGATTGATTGTGATTTTTCTTTTTTCTGAAGGCTTGGAGCAGCAAAGTGAGACAAAGGGCACATCTATCTTTACATTTCAGCCAATATAAGCTTGGAAAAGTATCATTAAGTACACAGAATATAACCTACTGCAATTATGATTTGATATTTCTCATGCAACACTTGATACTGAATGTCTTCAGTGTCATAAGAAACATCTTTTTTACTTGGCGCTAATAAGACAAATCTTGCCAATTATCTCTTAAAAGTAAAACAATGTAACATGGGTCTAATTTCCATTCCTTCATCATCCACTGTGAGCTGGGAGAAGAAATACTTCATGAGCTCAAGGATATTCAAGCTGTTTCATTCAAATTTTTTTTTTTTCATGGAACAGCAAGAATACAACATAAAAACTCTATACTGTAATTTTGTTCAGTTGTCTTAAGTTCAAATTTTCCATATTCCCCACTAAGTCTGTCACAGTCTTAAATCAGTGCCACACTGATCAGATAGGAACAGGAAACACTCTTCTACCTTCTTTCTGACTCCTGGGGAGACCAGTAACTGTTCACTCATACGCGCTGAGCTGCCCTGAGGTAAAGGAAATTTATTTTCTGCCCTGGAATTCCATGGTATTCCCAGTGATGTCACTGTCTTGACACGCTACAGTCCGTGGAACAGTTTGATGGGACGGCAGGCTGGGGTAGATGCTGTTTTGTAGCCTAAAGGGTGGCTTAGAGCTTTAAGAAACGGGGATTACCTACCTAGCTTTGTTTCGCTTTAATCTTTCATGCTCAAGTTTATTTTGTGTGGATTCCCAAATGTAGCCCCCCCCCCCCCCCCCCTCCTTTGCCAATTTTAGACCCACTTGGCAGGGTGCCTGTCCTCGTGGGATCTCGTATTCCTCTCACACAGTAGAACTCATAGTGAGACCCTTTCAGAGTCAAAATGGGCTTAGTGCTGATCAGCTAACCACAAACTTGGACGCGGTGTGTTCAGCGCCAAGAGACCGCAAGACTGTCTGATAACAACAATAAGGACTAGAGGACCCTTACAGCCTTTCTTCCCATACGTTTTGCATAACAAGGCTAGATCAAGGCCTCATCAGGCCACTGATGCTTCTGGTGAAAAAGCTTTCCGTTGTCCTTGCAGCAAGGAGATACGGAATGCACTGTGGCTGAGATAGTGAGGCTCACCCTACAAGGCCGGTCAATCACACAACACCACTGTTTTCATTGAGGAACTGCTCAACAGAAAGCAGCTGTATAAACACATTAGACAGGATCCAGGCTGCTCCAAGGAAAAACACAAACTCGAAGGATAATTCCATAAATAAATCAATAAATAGGCCTAAACTAAATACATCTTGGAGCGAGGATTGGACCATTTGTGGATGAAGACAGACAAGCTGGTGTTGTGTTTCACTGAAGCCTGAAGCTGCTGCAGAGTAGGCCTCGCCTCTGGCCTTGAAGCCCTCAGCCCACTAGACTAAATGATTATCTATTGTGTTAATGAAATCGTAATGTAATGTCATGCTTGGGAATCATCATATCGCGTGGTATTTAGCTGTTCAGCCGGCATGCTGCTGATTTTCCAAAACACTTACCACAACAACTTCAGCAACAATCCTTTTAATTGGTACCTTGAAGAGACTGTCACACTTTCTACTCATCGGTCATCAACAGAGCAGGAATTTGGTCACAATCATCTTTAATGAAACTGGCACTTGTCTTCCTCCCTCCGTTGGTGAGTACTTCTATTGATTGGCCTCTGCTGAGGCTGCGGGGCAGTAGGCTGGTGCAGAAAATGGTGTGACACTGATTTGTTTATACCCTACGTGGGAAGGGCAAATCCACGTATCGCCTGGACCAGACTAGAACATACGGTCCGTGTGGAAGCCTGGGGTGCCGTGTGAAGCCGCTGCCAGCTGTGGATTGTGTGGCCATTGTCTCATCTCAAGCCCTTATGAATCACCCACGTTCAGTAAACATTGTGCTTTTCTGCTGTTTAAAGTAGAAAAGGCATCTTTCAGAGGTGACACACTTTGCAGGATGCATCTGAAGTAACTCTTTGGTGGTAAACCTTTCCTTTCTTTAAAAATACAGAAGATACTGAATCTAAAATCGGCGTCGCCACCATTAGAGAATTTAAGAAAGGTCGCAGCTTCTCAACGACAGTAAAGGAAAAACTGTGTTGTGGGTGTGTGTTCAGTGGCAATGTGGAACCAAAGGCCTGCCTTTCATTTTATCACAAGCCAAAGCAGTCGGGATTAAAGCCTTCATTTGACAAACATGAAACACTACCATTTGTTGTGTTCTCTGTTGCTTTTGTTTAAATAAAGAAGATTAAGGCCTTTCAGAACTGCATCTGAAATGAATGATTGCTAAATCCTTTTGTTCTTCTACCTTTTTCAAATTTCCCTTAAAATTTCCAAACACAGCCTTTCTCACTGAAGGCTTATTCTCTGTCAACAAACAAAACACAGAAGCACATCATTTACTTGTTTCAAGCTGCACCGAAAAGAGACATTTCTCCTCAGATGAGTGAAAGCGTGTTCGCGTACTGTACTCACCACAGTGGTCAAGTCATGTTCCTTCATCAGCCTGAGGGAGCTCTGATAGCAGGAGGTGAGGTCATTGGTCTCGGTAGGGCCCACATGACCTCTGGCCACCGGGCCCACGGTATGGATCACATCTGTCAGAAAGGAACGACACAAAAAAGTCCATTTTAACACAGCTTACGCGTCGAAAAGCTGCATGATTGGTGGCGTTGTCAGTAGTACTGCGTAGTGTAAGGGTAAGTTAAACGCTGCCGTGCAGCCTAGGCAAGGTTGAATGTTTCTGCAAAAACATCCTCAATGTCATCACAATATATAATTAAGTTGTTTTTAATCGTACGACAACTGGGACTGCATGAACAAGCAGGAGCCTGAACTGAATTTATTTATTTATTCACTAAATGAAACGGCAGCTTAGATAGAAAATCAATTACAAGATTATATGATGCCATCTTCTCAAATATTCATATCTCTCCCTGTACTCTCTTTCCCATCGCACAGTAATGTCTTTACCTGTAAATCACGGGGCTCCTTGTCTGGCCTGGCCAGACTGAGGAATGCAGACTCTTAATTGAATCGCAGGAGTGATGACAGGAAAATAGGAGAATTTAAGTAGTGACTTGACAGAAACATAACCTCCTGCATTCTGCCTGACTACCCTTGGCCTTCTAAGGGTTTGCTGGGGCAGGTCAACAGCAATAAATAGAGAAGTAACTCTCCACATCACCCACAAAGCATTCCAGAAAAGTTCACCGGCTTTGTATTTTTGCATCAGACTGCTGGGGAGAACGTAGTTTCACTAGACTGTATAAAAAAAAGTGCTGTAAACCAGGAAAAGGTGGTGGAGGTTCGGGTGCAATAATGCGCCGTTGTAAACCATGATTCACAGGGCCGTGTCTCGTGGATGTTTTCCTTCTTGTTCAAAAGCATTTTTATACAGTACCTAATGGGCCCTTTTCTTCATTTAGCGGTATTGGCTGGTGAATCTCAATTCCTGGCCCGTTAAAATATTGATCTACTATGACTCATGGGAATTTAAAGAATCAAGTCCTTATTTCAGTGCACTAAAATATTAAACCCTTTCCAACCATGAATAGTGATGATTAGACTTGATTCAGGTGAGGGAATGAGAGGAAAACACAGCAGCCCCATGTGTTTTCTCAAACCTAAACTTCTTTTTATTGATAATATTAAACAATTCCCTTTGTCTCACTTTCCCTCCGAATAAATGTAGGTGGCATTACTATTCCACGCGATCATAAATCATGTATGGATTAAATTTAGTTCTTAGTTGTATGTCTGGTTGCCTGATTTGGTCAGGATGATAAAATTCATTGGGGAGCCACTGTAATCAAGCGTCTTTCCCTGATCCCTGTTTCCTAAGAGACGTACACTTGTCCTAAGAGACTTAGGAGACTTAGACTTCCGTAGTCTCTTTGTGATTGCGACAGGTAAGAAGGGGATCCCCAGCTTAGCTTCTTTCTTTTTCCAGAACAGCGGGCCAGAAACTGTGGTAATAATGGTACACGTGGTAAGTTGGTTTTCTTGCATAATTAATGGAGTTCTTCACTACTAGAATGGCAACATTTCAATAAGACTTTAGGCAAGCGCCAAAAACCAGACGACTGGTGAACTCATGAACATTTAAACAGTCGCTATCTCACCAGCTCCGACGTCTCCACTTGTTTCCGTAACACTTCCCCTTCAAATAAATATTCATACAGCTGTGTGTTTTTAAGGTGAAAGACGTATTTCACTTTGACATTGCAGGCGGGTCAGTAAGTTACTGACTGAGCTCCAAAACACTCAGACAGCTGCTTCAGTATCTCTGTGACCTTAAACACAAATGATCTCTCCCTTCTTGGGCTTGTTTTCTGTGGAAAGGAAAAGGCACAGTCTCTAAGTCAAACAAAATCCAATGATCGTTTGCAATAAGATCTTAAGAGGCCATTCGTTTGCTGTAAATTAAAGGGACCTTTCTAGATCATAATTGACTTTTCGAGCATGTCCTGAAAATAGTGCAGAGTTCTGCACGGAGACGTGAACACAAACAATAATTCATTCAATCCTTTAAGTAGAATTAATCAATAAGGGCATGTCAGTGTAGTGCAGTAGTTGAGGGCGTTTGAACCCTCAAGGTAGTCTTGTCTAAATAAAGGTCAGGACCAACTCAAACAGTTAAAATTTTCCAACGGCTTTTGAAGACTCACCTGCAACGTTTCTCAATACAGACATCATACAAGATGCTCGTTGCTTAAACAGTTTGAAATGCTTTGCCAGGTAATCCATTTGACACAAGTCCTTATCATCCTTGTTCCTTTTCGTCTCGTGAGAACCCACAGATTTAATCAGGAATTGGAATCTATTAGCTGACAGACGCATTCGGGTGTATCAGTGTTTGTGCGTTGCAGAGAGGCACATATCGACACGTGCATACCATACAAGAGGAACAGGGATATCTATTTTAGCAGGGTTGAAAAGATTAGGAGCAGCCCTCCTGCACTTCAGGGGTTAGAATTGAATGCAGGGATGACAATGGGAGCAGAAAAACATCAATAGACATTAAAGGGATACTTTAATTCTGTATGTTGTAGCCATTTCACACAGTTTCACATCAAACGTCATGCTCTGCAGCTATCAAAAGAAAAAATATGGATTCACTTGCAGTAGGATTAAATGAATAAATATGCCAAAGACGGGGAATTAAAAAGCCAATCATTTCAAAATTAACCTGTTAAGTAACAGACCAGAACAACCTGATTACAAGAGACAGCCGGGGAAGGATCGCTCGGAGCATTTAAACCAAGTCATTAGGGAATCTAACGGAACACTTCTTTGTCACACAACAAAGTGCCCGCTCCACACACCTCCTTCAAGACCCTCGGCCTGCCAATTTCACCAGTAGTTAATGAGCTTCCATTCCCAGCAATGTTTTTTTAGCAGTTTTTTTTCCCACCCAATATCTCCACTGGATTTGTTCATTGTGGTCTCTTGCCCGAGGCTACAAGGTCAGTAACACAATTGAACCAGCAAAGACTGATGATTGCCATTCAACCCGTGCTTTCTTTCCCCATGAGCCCGCCGGCTCTGCAGAGAAAAACAAAAGGAAAACAGCAACAAGAGAAAAACAACCCAGAAGTTTTGTTTTTGTTTATAAGAGTTAAAGGATAATTACGTGTTTGGTGTGAGGAGCAACTTACGAAACATATATTGACTGATGTTGTCTATCCTGCTGTGGTGATACTATCACTTTGTGTTGGATTCCGTATTCTGCAACACACACTGCGAGTTAAACGGCAAATACGTTTATATTCCTCCGTTTATGTCTGAACATGAATCGTCTAGTTCTATCAGCATGCGCAGGTTTTGGTGCTGACTGCAAACTATCCTAACTGGGATTCAGAGGAGTCTGTGAAATTGTTGCTCAGTTTTTTTTCCGTTCTAAATGGAGCAAATGTGCCACTGTGCATTTATTATCCAAGCCATTCCACACCAGACTTTTAATGGGCCACGATTAGCACGCATCTCTACTACCGATTCTTGAAAGTCAGTAAAAGAAAATCACTGATGTGGGGAAACATATTGCAAGCTGCAAAGTCACAGCCAATTTTGTATTTAATTTATTATTATTATTTAGATTTCCCAGCAAATAAGCCTTATAGGATACAATTATACGGAGGAGAATTTAAAAGACCTTTGTGAGAATACTCTTATCCTCTAGTTTGTTGGGCGCAGTGTCAACTTTCTATAACAGAATCCTGGTGAGGATCAATGCATCACGAATGAGGGGAAATTTGCTTTTAGATGTTTAACCAGTGCAAAGTGCAATAATAACTGCATAATAAGTAGAAAAAGCCTAAATGTGCTTCTCACATCCGACTAAACAGCATATTTATTAAATCAATAAATAATTGAATTCACAAAGAGACGGTGTTGTTCTCCAAACCCAACAACAGTAGATAATCGGGAAACCACCGCCGTTAAACAGGGATATTTTCACATAACTACACAACTTCAGCAGGACATTTTCTGTATTTATCAATTTTATCAGGACGAATAAAACTTTTTATTGGATTGCAGGAAGCCTGATAAATTTTGAGTGTTCAGTGTCATTTAACAATTTTCTGTGCAGGAGATGTAAAGTTCCAGTTGAAACCAGCTCCAGACTGACAGAGAAAATATTAAAGCTATCAGAAGAAGAACTGTGACGCGGCATACACGGTGCTTTTATTTCTGCAGAACTTTCAGATGACGGACAGATCTTGACATATTCCTCTAAATTGCTTGCGCTTTAATATGTATGCAGCAGCATGTAGGAACAGATAAGTATCCGACAGTGACTTCATGTCTGCACCTTTGTGATTATGAAAGTCTCCTATCAGGAGCAACCGGATAAATAAATGGTGAGTCTGGCCTGCTCAGGATGGACAGGACACAAAATAACCAAACCAAAATTGAAGCATGTGTATGAATGTCTTAGACAAGCCTACTAAAATATTCTTCAGCTGAATAACTACCAAAGGGACACGCTCACTTCAAAGACGTCACTTTCTTAGCAACTATAAAATCTTTTGAAAATATCCAAACTTAATTTGGAAGTGAAGTGCGGTGCTCTTTCAGAGAGGGACCAGCACTTCAGAGCCTAATCAATCTTTCATTTTGACTTGCCTGCACTGACTTTGAGGCTGTTTTTACATTCCCCATAATAACAGCGGCTAAAGGCTTGAACACGTTAACTGTAGTGCGAGTGCTCCTGGATGATCCCGTTCTTGCCAACAACTGTTAGTACCAAAGAGGTATGTTGATACGGGGGGACTCATTTATATACATCATGATTCACAGGAGCCAGCAGACAATAATCAGACCACTTTTGTGCTGCCCATGGCAATTATCCTCAACACTTAGGAATCAACAAAGCACATAATGACTTTGAGTCCATTACGAAATTTATTCAAAATTCAATTTAACGGCAGACACTGTTTTGTATGGTGAGTGGACCGTGGGCCTTGCAAGTATTAAGTGCCTCTGCAAATTTCTCACTGATGCTGAAAATCAGTCAGATCATCTAAAAGTCCAGAGATGCAGGAGCTCAGGAACCAACTCTCACCGATGGCTATGAAGCTGGCAATAAGGTGGG